ACATCGTCCAGCTGCTTTTTTTAAGGAACTTGCAAACGATTCTAGAACGTCGGTGCAGACAACCGATGTACACTTTGTGATCTCTTCATGACCATTTGTCCAGACGGAGTTAATGTCCACTGTTTAGATGTTCTGCATACAATAAGTGGAGACTGTGTAAGTACAGCTCCGTCTTCTTCATTTACTTTGGGTCTGGCGGTGTGAACCTAAGGCCCAAGTTTGCTTGTGCCTTTGGCAGCAGATACGTTCTAACCGGCACTAATATCGACGCCATTCTGCAATTTCGGAACAGGTGGTAGTGTGGTCGAGGCCCTGGTCTTAAGTATTCCAATCGGACTGGCGGTGGTTGGCTCGTGCGTATTTGGACACCTGCTGATATAAAATTTCAACGCCACTGCTGACGAAGTTAAGGCGCGCCGCCCAGCCTTCGTCCTTATTTTTGAAGCGGAGCCTATTGAGGAGAACTGAAGTTTACTCTCTGTCACGCACTTTTCTAATAAAGCGATGTTGGTGTTCTTTATTTCTCCTGCCGCTACCACCAGTCTTTCGCGTTTCTGACATAGTTCACCCATATGCTTTACTAGTTGGATAACCATACATACTGCACACTACCATTTGGAATCTGGTCAAGCATATGGATCTTCGACTGGTTTACGGTGAGCCTAGAACACTTAGGATGAGACCACGCGAGACAACGGGAAGAGTGTATTCCTGTTTGTACTCTTTTAGGGTATGAAGGAGAGCCACATAGAACTTCATTTATGTAGCTTAGTTAGATTGGTCGTCACAAATCATGGCGTTTCGTGCCTGTCGCTCAATGACTTTCGGATGAATGCCTGAGTGTGCATGACTGCCTGTCTGTCCCCTGGGTGATGAATTGGCAAAATTTTCATGGTCAAGACATTGGTAACACACTTCGGCGCCTCACTGGGTTCGCAAAGCAGGTTTATGCTGCGGCGTACTTTGCTCGGAATTTGCTCTGAGGCGTAAACAAAGCGAATGAGCGAAAAGGGGCAAAAAAGTTTAGATAGTCTCTTTACTTCGCGGTCGAAAGCTGTGATTGATGACTCTAAGATGTGATCCCGCCATTCATCTTCATTTGAGATCACCAATATTACTGTGTGACACGGGTTTCGTAAAAATGCGCGCGTGTTTCCGTGGGAATGATGCAATTGTCATGCAGCGCCCTCCGAGACTCGAAAGAAAGTATGGGTAACGATCAGATACTTTTACTGAAGAAGCAGGGCATCGTTTTATATGGTACACAAATGGGGAATGATTCCCTGCAGACACAGGTCGCTGCGACTTTCGTAGTTCATTGGTCAGTCTGCTTCTGCTCCGTTTTCGTCTATTCGCCTTCAGCCACGGCTGGGTACGGCAGTTCTACCTTGTATGTCTGGTCTGTTATTTTTACCCGGTTAAACCGATCCGCCAATAAGTCAACTTCGCTTCCTTGCTCTGGTTTGTTGATGCCTTCACCTGATTGGCTAATTTGATATCTGATTCTAACTGTCTTTCGCTCAAACGGCTACCGGTAGCATACTTGCCTGTAGTCGCAGCCTGTGATTGGGCCGCATGCATATGGTCGGCTCCACCGCTTTGCTAAAGCAACTAGTTATTACCACATGAATTAACAAGAGGTTAATAGTTGCTAGTGATTCTAGTGGGTGATTAAGCTAATAACACCTTTGTAGTTTACATGCCAAAAAAGCATGATTTTGTGGATGCACATGAGAGTTTCCTATTCACCAGCTTACATGAATTCAAAAACCATGTAACTTTCCTGGATGTCAAAGGTAGCCGTAACTCGAACGGACCTTGCAGCAGGAATGTGCACAGGAACTGTACGTAGACTGGGCATAACACGAACTTCCACAGTGCAATACCATTACAGTACGAAATATGTTTAGTCCGATCTTTTGCCTTCAAGGCGAGAAGTATTTGCATACTGGTTGCCATCAAGGAAGCACTGCACAGAATCAGTGACACCCCATAAGAGAAAACTGCTTAAGAAGACAAAGTTAGTAGAAAGCAATGGAGAGAACGCAAACGAAATCCACCTAGGTACATTGCTCCCAAGAAAGCTGTTTACACATTTGCCATTTAAGAGTGAGCCTGCTGTTGATATTCTATCCTGACTCTTGCAAGATGCTACTGAGAAAATTTGCTTTGTAGCCAGCTTAAGAACTGTTTATCACAGTAAGCAATTACCTGCAAAACCCTTAAAGGGCATACGGTCTACGTCGACTCGCACAATACTAGTTTATCAGTGCTCGTGCTCCTGTTTTGCGCGATATGAGTCGCACTACAAGCGTCTAGTCCAGAGGATTCGTAAGTACATCCCATCCTGGAGTTACATAGGACAAATGAGGTTATCAAAAAGCTCCGTTATGTCGAACCTCTTTGATCACAGCTATATAACCTCCGAGAATAACTTTAAACTCATCTATTCATTGCCTGTACGCGGTTTGCAAGGACTCCGCAGACAGCTGCTGTCCGTTGCAGAGGCTACATACATCCACCAGCTGAAGCAGGGATTATGTGAACAAAAGCGATTCATACGACCGATGTGGCAACCTTGGCCAAAAAGACACTCTTACTTGTCGTTTGATGGTTACCTGAATTATTTATCTTTGTTATTGTGGCAGTTTGTAAATGGCGAATAATTCCCAGATCAGTCATGAAAAGACGGTCTAGCAAACAAGCACCTTTTCAGCCATTCGTCATCAGGCCAAATACAATACGTTTAAATAGTTAAAATAAGCAATGGCGGATTGAGCACCTAAAAAATGAAGCCGTCAAACTGCGAAATACAGATGTGATTTGTCCACATGGAAGCTGCAATCGCGTTGCGTCTCAACAACCCATGTTATGTGTACATTGTTAGTTCGTGAATGCTTTGCCTTTACCCTGGCCAGCTGTCGCACGAACAGCTTCCGTGTGACAAAATCACGCTCATTTAAGGCATTATGGTACCAGTTATTCTTTGTTTGACCGGCGTACTATACACATATCAGTCTTAACTATCGGTTTTGTCATTCAAGCAAATTAGAAGGCAATCTCTGGCCCGATTAGAGTCTCACATCACAAGCACGCTATGTAAACGCTTAATGCGGATGTTGATTTTCCGTTGTAAACTTGGAATATATATTTTGACGTGGAGAGGAATTGCTCGTAACGCACTTAATGCAATTGTACTCCAAATACAAACGAATTTTCGGACACAAGCGGTTATCGTTTTCTTACTTATTTACTTACTTGGTTAGCGGCATCCGGTTTCGAATTTGCCTGTCACTGTGGCCAATCACAGGACGCCTGCGCCTACAGAGGGACCATGGGTGGCTTGCGCTGCACCACCCACAGTTCCATAAACACACACCCCATATCCAGAGTAAACCCGAAGAAAAAAACACCGGAAGGTATGTGGATGGGAGCCACGTTTCATCAACGGAGCCGGCCCACACTCCTTCACAGGCAAACACAAGCCCGTTGTATTTGGGGAATCAGTTGCACACATGGCGGTGACTGGACCGTAGTCCGCTCCACACTGAGTGCATGGAACCACTCTTCGAGCCTAGCACGACCAAAATGACCGTGGTCGGCCGGTGGCCGAGTGATATGCGCTTCTGGTTTGCAAACATAAGGTCATCAGTTCGAATCCGCGTAGGGGCGGGCGTCCTCGCGGTATACTCAGCCCACGCGCGACTGGTGGTGGTCGCGTGGCAGATAAGCGCCGTTACGGCGTAGAGCTGGCGATTTACTTATTTACTTTTTACTTTTTACAAGGACCGTGCAAGCCGTCCCCTCCAGAAACGACCAACTGTCTCCTGGATGAAGTATGGAAGAGGTAGTGGGCAATAGAGAGGTAGACACCTTGGCAAATTGCACATCAAATGCAGGCACACCGCGGATATCAAACAACAGCCAATCGGTTGAAATGATATTATCAAATAAAATATATCTACTAAAGCATACCGTTTTGCCAATATAACTCTCCGCTAAATTAGCATATGAAGTAAGTTGTTTAGCAACGAATCCGCGATAAGTACCAAATGTCCACAAGTTATGCAAAAAATGCCACAAAAGCGATAAAGTTAACTAAGATAGACGCAATTAGCGTAAGCAACATGTGCAAATTAATAGATTATTTAGCTAGGCGGAACAAATCAAATAAAGTGGAATGAAATTGATCCAGCTTAAAAGAACCTAATTAAGTGTAAGTGTAAGTTGGATTAGCCCAACTGCGGTGAAGAACTATCATGTATGCAACATCAGCATGGGGCGCACTTACTTACTTAGTAACTTACTTACTTAGTTATTTATTTACCTACTTACTTACTTGCTTACTTAATTACGTATTTATGTTTCTCTGCAATCATGTTCTTATCATATTCCGATGGCAAACTAGCGCACCGAAGGTTTAAGAGATAGCTGTTGTGTGATCCGAATATCTTTCACTGTTTAATGTGTCCGAACTGTTGTGCATTTAATAGATGGGTACTAGATGATACGCAATTTTGGGTCATGAAGTTATGTTTATGTCAATTGAAAGCGATGTCAACACACAATGCAGCACTCTAAGCCACAGGTAATGACTGGTGGTAACAAAGACCATTTTTTCTCAAGAATGAAGCACGATTGTACTTGCATTTGATATAGATACTGATTGAGGTTGGCCTCAAATCAAGATACGTTGGATCATTCATCCGCTCTGACCAACACCATTTGTTAGACTAGGATAAGCAATTCGAAGAAATGACTTGCCGTCAACCACCAATTGACGCGTTACTTTGGAACAAGTATTGTTTGCTTTGCTATGGTTGTTTTGCTGAAGCTATACAATGCGATAACACCTATCACCGTTAACACAATATCCGGTAAATTGTGCCGACAAAAGATTTCGCCAGGTCCTCTCCTGATTCATGCTCCGTGATCAGTACTATAAATTTATTATGTTCAATTAATTTGAACCAAGAACTAAGGACACTCGGAAAAGTTACTTGTAGAAGTCTTGTCAATTTGCTATCCCTGTATGGAACGTGCTTGACTTTTGCATCGACCAATGCGGATATGACATTGCCTAGAGCGGACAGGCTTAAATTAATCTTTGCCGCTTCTTTGAATCGATCTCCCGAGGCTCCTGTTTTTGACTGTCTTTCGGAACCGGCCAAATCGACCAAATTAAGTTTTCCTGCCCTGATCTTTTCTGTGTTCGAGTCCGGGTCTCTATCAACCATCTCGAGATAAATAGTGAAGATGGAATGTGATCGGCTGCTATCCGCATTCATTAGGGTAGCTCCAGTTGCTCTGTTTTTCCAACCGATTCCCATGAGAACCTGAAGGAGGAAAAAAGCGATCAAATAAGGAACAGCTATCCCAACAGCATTTTTAAGGAGGTGGAAATTAGTTATCTTTGCCAATTCTACCAAATGCTACTATATTATCTGAACGACAGATGATATCATTTATGTTACTTTTTTAGCACAGCTGGACTGTGTTTAACTTATGAACAGTTTACTAGGTATATATATACCAAGTTAAGCAATAAACAATTGACAGGGTGTCATATCACGGATAACAACAAAAAGCATTAACGGCGGACAGGGGAAGCGATACGAAGATTCATGTGTTGCGTGGGCCGAGAACTTCCCGTCTATCAGGCCGACGAAGAGGATTGACTTAAGAAACTCCACCCGGAGGCTTTAGTCTTAAAGACCTGTGTCGCAAGGCAGTAAAGCGATTAACGCACGTCGATAGAACGCCCAACCAGTCGTGCATGCGAAGACCATTTAGAGCCGAATGTCTCATTCACCTTCTTAGTGTTCGGTAACAGGTCACACAGAAGCCAGCAACTAACAAGTTTGTTCATCTGAACATCATTAAGTGCTCAACCCTGGTTGCAGAAGTGAGTGGTCAGTGACCCTATAGCCGGTCACATTGGCTTTGGCACCGCATCTTACGTGTTCTTATGGTATTTAATGCAGAACCAGGTGCCCAGCCCAGAAGTCCCCACGCTCTGGGGAACTGCAGCTGATTATCCGCAAATTCTTATTCATCACGTCTCCAAAGCAAACGGGACTTCTTCGCACTTACCTCCACAAAGAAGGCATTCCGCAACTTGGGGACGCGCTCGACAGTGTACAGCTCCGCCACAGGGTGCTCATGTATGTTTGCAACCGTCCGTCACTTGGCTATTGAGTAAGCAGGAGTACTTAGTTCCACATCCACTTGGCTGATCCCATCGGAACAAATTGTAGCTCCCAAATACAGTCAAGAGCGATCGGTTATGGCGTCCTTCTGACATCGGCACTCAATTACGGGTCCAAGTCCAGGATGGTATTCACTACTCCGGTAGATCAGAGATTAACTCTGGCCTGAATTAAGGAAACTGCAAAGGCTTAAAGCTATTGGGCAGCTCTAATCCTAACAGTGGGATAACTCTATCAATGAATATCATTTTGCAGTTTAACTATCCATTGGTAGCAAATTTCCTATTATCGGTTCTGAGTAGATCACAGTCCGTCCTTACCTTATATCAACCAACTTGTGGTTCCCGATCACCAATTGCTACTTTGTAGCTATCGAACTGTAAAAGCAGAAGTCTGCAGTGAATCTGGTGAGAACTGCACACGAAAGCTATCCGAGAAGAAGTGACGCGTTACTCAGATGCCCCCTCCAAACTGCTCAAAGCCGTTCTACGAAACCTCATTAAGTTCAGGGTGGCCTATACCTAGGAGAGATCATATTGATCACATTTCGACTCCATATCAAGCACTTGAATAGCTATGTGCACACATGTAAACAACAACAATAGTCGTTCTGAACCACAGCAATGCATTGATTTAGCATTTTACGACGTTGTATGACACCGATCATGTTGAAGACGTCCTAAAAACATTCTGGCTTCGGAGAACTTTCCAACAAATTGCAAAAATAGCTATTTTTCCAGGCGACAGAGATGTAATTATCGTGTTCCAATTGTTATGGACTTATCTCCCTCTAGGTTCTCTCAGCGTGGTCAACATAGACTCATTCGAAGCTGACTTACTAGCGTTATTCAGTGAGCCATCATACGAGGAAATATCTTCCACTTTAACACCAGCAACACCAGCCGTTTTAAACGACTCTCGTGTTTGAATCCACACACTAGTTTTTCGCCATGAGCCCAATCCTCACTTGTGCAACATCGTTTGACGCAAAAATCTTTAGGCTTTCCAACGATCCTAAGCTTCTTCCATACGGCGTTCCTCAAGACAGCTGTAAGGGCATTTGTACTCTTATTCTCTCTGTGCACCTCGCTGGTATTCGGCTTCAGTAACAGACCCCTGCACAATCAGAGGAGACATCCGTCGACCCGCCAACCAACAAAGCACGCTTGTTCACCTAACTAGCAAGTGCAGTCGGGCAATTGCGCACAAACTTAAAGCGTAAATTAGCCCACCATCCTCGTGAGCGTTAGGCAAATGGACGGTTGGTTGACCTATCAGCCTGTGCGAGACCATAAAAGTGCATGTCATCAATGATTATGGCCTAACCGAAGAGTAAATGCGACCTATCTGCTAGAGTGTTCAAGACATGACTAAAGTGTTTTAACTGCTTTAATTCATCTCAATCCAAACGTATAGCGGTGAGTCCACTCGGAAACTAAGGATTACATTAGCAAAATGGAGACGTTATTATTTTACCAGTGAGTAAATACATCCTGGCTGTTAGTTGTCTGATCGTTCTAACTAAAAAGTGTGAAAAGCTAACCGATGCAGTTGAGCAACTGGTGAACGCCAGGGACACACATATGGAAGTGAACGAAGCACCACAAACTTGTTACTAGCCCAAACAAGCCGCACGAAGTCTGCCAACGCAAAACAAGGAGCTGACGTCGTACACTTGCACTTCTCTAAAGCATTCGATAGCCCAGACCACCAAATTCATATTCACAAACTTCGAAGCTAAGGAATCGGTGATCCTATGCTAGGTTAGATATGCAACTTCCTTAAACAACGACAGTTGAATTTAAGAGTCCGCAGACACAGTTCCGCCCCAATTGGGTTCCACTGCAGTGTGCCGCAACGATCGGTACTGGGACCGCGGTCGGTTTCCGTATTCATCAAGGAGCTTGTTAGCGTGTTGCTCTCTGATTTATTGCTCTTTGCAGACGACGTCAAGATCTGACATAACAGCACGAAAGTGGGCAATTACATGCCACTAAAAAGAGATCTCGACAGGGCCTACACATGGTCATCCGAATAACGGATCCTCTTTAACTTGGCGAAATGCAAAGTTTTGAGTATACGCCACCAGCTTTCCACTGAAAATCGACTGGCAGTACAGCTGCAGCAGCATGCTAAGCAAGTGCAAGACAATCTTGGCTTCCCGAAACAGGCCAAAAAGGTATAGAAAAGAGCCAATCGGCACCTTGGCCTCCTATGAAGAACGTACGAGAAGTGCTAGCCATTAATAGTTCTACAACTGCTAAACGTCTAAGTGAGGCCCCATGTGTAGTACGCGATCCAGGACTGGCGACATTGGCGCAAACACGGTGTTGCTGCGCTAGAAGCTCTACCATGTTGGGGGATGAAAATAGTTAGAGGACTGTTTCATTTCTCCTGCCAACGCAGACTGTAAGCCCTAGGCTTGTACAGCGGCGAACACCGGCGCCTGCGAGGTACTCTTCTTATGGTGTACCAAATACTGACTAAGTTCAATCACACCTGTCGCGATCTCTTGCAAGTCAGCCACAATAGCAAACTGAGAGGCCACCAACTCAAACTGACCACACACCACAGTCAACCTGATTGCCCACAAAGCATTTTTTTCTTCGGGTATCCAGAACGTAAGTCGCACTCCCTTCTCAAGTTATCTTTGCCCCAAGTCAATGCTTCGTAAAAATACGTTTGCATTATACTCTATGCCATTTAGAAATAAATAAATAAATGCTTGATTCCCGGTAGTGCGGGGCCGGCCTGCGTAGACATGATCATGATAATACAAACAGGTATGGTCGGTAGTTGTATAAAGTTGGCAAGTTAAGGAGTAACATACTAGATTTGAGTGTCAGTATATATGTAAGCGTAGTATTAGTGGGTATGGTGAGTGAACTTTTGAAGTGTGACTAAAGTCGTGAGTTTGTTTGATATATTTGCCATCGTATAAAGGGATCAAAGGAACTTTTCGAACTGGATGACGTCCGTGAAGTGGGGATCCTCCGGAAGGGGAAGAGGCAGTGACTTTATTTAGTGGCGAGTCACATACGCCATGTCGCAGTGTTGTTAAACGGACCTTTGTGACTTTTTATAGAGAGAACGCTTGTCAGGCGAAAACCCACCACGTCCTGGAACACTGCAGCCGAACTATTCGCTGGAACGGGATTAACCCGAAACACCCAGCTGGCACCACGGGGAGGTTGTTCGGCTAGTCATGGGCTGTTTCTATTGAAAGACGAAATAACGCAAGCAGCGTGCACCCCAGACTTCTTCGTTACGTAGAAGTGAGTAGACTAGCATACGTTCGTGTGAATAACTCGGTGAGTCACCTCAAACCAGCATTTTCCTTTTTCCTGTCAATTTAACCAATCATTTTATATTCCTCACTCCGGTCATCCTACGGACCTGTCAAGCAACTCTTTTTAGCCGGTTACAAAACGTTGATCAATGAAGCTATGGTTGCATCTCAGTGGACCCCTCTAAGTTCTCCATTCAGACCAAAGACGAGGGCCAGGTGTCCCAACTTTAACGTCTCAGTATCCCACTACCTCAGCGCACCTAATTATTCTAAGTAGGGAAGTTGTTACCAGCTTACCTGTTTTACTTTATCCAAGGATATTGCAACCGGTAATTCACTTGCCATACTTTGGACTCAAAACTATAGCTCTTTCACAGAAAAAGGGACAGTATATGCAGCGGTTGCTGCCAGTAAGACGTCAGAAGACACCCTAGTTGTTGCAGCATGGATCGCTACCACCATTGCCTCACATAAATCCACAGAAATTAATTGGACCTAGTATTCTCGAGCCAATAACTACCAGGCGCAAACATGGTGCCTTAAGTCTCGTTTGCACTATAGTTCCCGAATCCAGGTCCAGTATTATCAGCGGTATTCTGATGAACGATCGTAATCATTGGGACTCCATGTGTAATGCCATGAGTGTCCTTGCGGACACGACTACAATGAAACCCATTGTGCGTCATCCAAACTCATTGTACTATAGTAAGCACCGATTACTTTGAGTGACACTAAATTCCGCGAATGGGATGCGGGCCATTTTGCTGTCTGTGAAGTGACCTCACAATGCATTAAACGGAGCGCGCGTACTACCAAATATCCCGCGATATGAGCAACC